TACCCTCCTAAATTAAGCCTTAAATCCTATCTAGTGCAATTCATTCAACTAAACTCGAACTCCACCCTTTCTTCGAAAGTCGAAAATACAAGGATTTTCGCCAGCGCTGTGAAAGGATCTTATCACCTGAAATACATCCCAGCCCCTGTCTATAGCAACCAGTACTCCATCCAGATTTTCCTTCCTTATTCAATGGTTTAGCACCCAAATTTTGTCTTAAAAAGGAGAAGGAGAAGAAGGAAGAAAAAGAAAAGCAACAGAAAATAGGAATCTTCACTTCAATGTATTTTGGTTGGTGTCTAGGCAGGAAATAAATATATACATCCAAAAAAAAAAAAAAGACATTTCAAAAGTAGCACCGGAGATATGGCATTGTAAAGACAGTTTAGGACCCGGTCAGATTCCAGCCTAAGCCTCTGAAAAGAGCAATTCTGGTTCAACTTAAAGGACTCATTGCTGATTCCTGTGGTCACATCTCTTCAGCAGTGTGATGCTTTCATTTAAACACTGCGCCAGCCCTGAGGCTACTTTCTGCCGCCTCATATTCAGCACTTGTTCCTTTTTAAATATTTACTTTCATCTTTTCCATACAATATATTTTTTAATCATTTTTTATTTGAATTAGAAACAAGATTGTTTTACATGGCAATCCCAGTTCCCTTCTCCCTCCCGTCCTCCCCTACCACCCCCCCAACTAAAACCCTACGCATCGCATATCCTTTCTTCTATTCTTCCCCTGACTCAACCTTTCTGCTCCCTCATGACCTCTGCATCCCTTCTCTTCTTCCCTTCTCATTCTCCTAGCTCCCTCCCCCCTCTTTCCATGCTCTCAATTTGCTCAGGGGATGGTGATCCTTTCCCCTTCTCCAGGGGACAAAGTTTGTCTATTTTAGGGTCCTCCTTGTTTACTAGCTTCTCTGGCAGTGTGGATTGTAGGCTGGTAATCCCTTACTGTATGTCTAAAATCCACATATGAGTGAGAACATACCATGTTTGTCTTTTTGTAATTAGATTACCTTGCTCAGAATGGTTTCTTCTAGTTCCATCCATTTTCCTGCAAGTTTCAAGATTCCATTGCATTTTTCTGCTGTGTAGTACTCCATTGTGTAAATGTACCACATTTTCTCTGTCCAGTCTTCAGCTGAGGGGCATCTAGGCTGCTTCCAGTTTCTGGCTATTACAAATAGTGCTGCTATGAACATGGTTGAACAGATGTCCTTGTTGTATGAATGTGCTTCTTTTGGGTATATGCCTAAGAGTGGAATTGCTGGATCTTGTGGTAGACTGATTACCATTTTCTTGAGGGGTCGCCACACTGATTTCCACAGTGGCCATGCAATATATTTTAATCATTGTGTCTCACCTCCCCTAACTCCTCCAAGAGCCTCCCCACCTCACTACCAACCCAACTTCATATTCTTTCTCTCTCCCCTTCACTCCCCCAAACAGGGGAAACAGCAACAAAAATACCAAAACCAATGAGCTAGTTGCTATTAATATTTCATAGATGAGAAAACCAAAAAAGGAGTAATTGTTCAAAATCACATAGGCAACAAATCTACTCAGACTTAAGCCCTCTGCACCACAGTCGACTTGGCCACTGAACTGCATAGCCTGCTTACAATTGTTGCATTTTAACACTTAGAAAACATGAAATAAAAATAAGCAATAAAAATTCCCAGGTAGCACTGAAATTCAAAAATTAGAAAACACATTATTTTCCTCTTACAATGATCCATAGTAAGTACAAAGACTCAAGTAGAAATCCACTGTCACTAGGATGCTGTTATTAGTAGAAGACCAACACAAAACCAACTCAACAGACATTTTTGGAGCTGTTTTTTGTTTGTTTGTTTTTTGTTTTTAACTTTAGATATCCTTTATGTATATATTCTGCTTTCTAAGTTTGTGATTTCATGAGATTTCTGTGTGAACATGCGTGTCTCTTCCTCTACAAGTGTTTCTTGTGCTTTTTCTTTAGCTATTTTTCTTCCATTTGTTTGTTTTGTCCAATTTATTTGTTTTCATTTTCTCTTACTATTTTTTAGATGCCTGTTTTATAATAGAGAAAGAAAGAGTGTGGATTTGGGTAGGAGGGGAAGTGGGGAGGACATGGGGAGAAAAAACTGTAATCAGAATATATTGTATGAAAAAAATCTATTTTCAGTAAAAATGAGGAAAACCCCGTGTCCCAGAAACAGCTAACATTATCTGAACCCTGCGATAAAGAAGTGTGTGGCAGTTGTCAGCTAGTGGCCCTGAGCAAGCCTCCCCTGCCATTATGGACTCTCCCTCTGGAACCTAAGCCAAAATACGCTCTTTGCTCTTGGTCATGGTGTTGTATCTCAACCACAGAAAAGTGAGCAACTGATATGGTGAATCCCATAAGGTTTTGAGATCCATGAAGGAGTAACTAGAACTCCACTTTCATAAGCCAGGTGATTTCTTTTTTAAAGAAAAATTGAGCTACTTCTAAAGTCTGTACTTCAAAGTCCTGTTTTTGTAAGTCTCCTGAGTACTCTAACTTTGTTTTGTTTTCTTTCTGAAACAAGGAAGGTCTCATGTAACCCAGACTGACCTCAAGCTTTCTAATAGCCAAAGATGGTCTTGAACGTAGGAACCTCTTGAATTCCTGACTTTCCTTCCTCTGCCTCTCAAGAGGTGAGAGTGCAGGCCTGTGACATATGCCTGGTTTACACAGTGCTGGGGATGGAACCCAGGGTTTCACATGCTAGGCAGGCGCTTTGCCAACCCAGCCACATCCCCAGCCAAATTTCTCTTTTCAAGATACAGGTTTCTAAGTCCTTTGAAACTCTGTACAAAGGGACAGTCCCCATCATCATTAGTCTCTTTTTGTTGCTTTCGTTTGGCTTTTAAGATTTGCTTGATTTATAATTGTGTGTATGTGTTTGTACACGTGAGTACAGTGCCCGCAGAGGCCAGAAGAGGTTGCTGATCTCTGGAGTTACAAGCTGCTGTGAGCTGTCCAACATGGGTTCTGGGAACTGAAGTCAGGTTCTCTGCAAGAGCAGTGCACGCTGTTAACCATTGAACATCTCTCCAGCCCTGTCATTACTCTCTTCTTGGATGTCACCCCTGCTTGTGATATGATTAAGACCTCCTCAAGGCTCCTCCATTCCTAACCAGCCTGAGCCCTCAGGGTGCTTTCAGCCTTTTCAAAACCATTCCTAGACACAAGAAAAGGACAGACTACCACCTGGCTTGTGTTAAGTGAAGCAAGTGAAAACTGGCAAGAGTAGCAAGTTTTAGTTCATGTGAACAAATTATTCTTGGACTCCTGGTCTCACAGCCTGCATTAGTGATCTGGGCACTGTCATGCATCAAGGAGACACATTCCACCTTGCACAAAACGTACCCATTAATACCCACTCTGCTAGGGGAGTTAAGAGCTCCTAGGCAGCATTCATCAGTGATGACAAGATTTTCCTGGTATTTCTGAAGTCCAGCTAGCAAAAGAGGAAAATGGGTTGGTGAATCCTGCCAGGCCCTCTGACCTCCTTCTCAGCTGGTGTGAAGTACATCACTAGCTGTGCCTGAGGAACAGAGTGTCTCACAGTCAAAAGAAGCCTCCCAGAACTCAGCCATTTTCTTTAAGTCTTCAGAAACGGAGTCCTCAGCTTCCAAAACAGACAGGGATTTGTCCGACGATGAGAGCCCAGGGGAACTTTTCTAAGCCCGCCATTCTTTTGTGCGTTCAACCAGAAGGTACTTGACTGAGCCCTGAGAAGACACCAGTTACTGATTTAGGCACTGGGGATTCCTAGTAAGAGAAGGGTTATCTTTTTGTATGTGTGATGTTCATAACTAGAAAAGTGAAGCAGCTACAACTAAGTACAAAAACACAGTAGGCAGAGAACTCCCATCTGTCCCAGGAGCGTCAGCCCAGCTCAGCCCCCTTCCCCTGTTGTTGACACAGCTTACTTAATTGCCTGTCTGTCCATTTGCCTGTCTGGACCTCGATCCCACCATTCCCTGCTCTCAGACCAGATTCTGCTCTCCTGCCTTGCAGCTGGACTCCATCCTCCCACTTGGTCTAGGCTTTTGGTGTCAGAAGAGTTCATCTGTAGTCACAGCACCAGGTTTCTGAGACTTTTGGTGGCAGAGCATCCTGTGGCAGAAGGAATATGTGAAGTGTGTAGCTATCCATCTCGTGGTGGACAGGAAACACAGGGAGAGATAGGAACACGACTACCCTCAGCGACCTACACTTCTAGCTAGGTGCCACCTCCTAGAGTTTCTACAAACTCCCAAAATAACCCCTGGTGTTGTTTAACTCATGAACCTGTGAGGGATTTCACACTCAAGCCATAAGACTACAAAAGTGGCCAGTTACCATTTCACACTGAAGAAGAAAGTGCTCAAGCCAAGGTCTAGCCTCGCATTAGAGTGCTTGCCTAGCATACACAAAGCCCTGAGTTCCATCTGCAGCAATAAGGGTGTGTGTGTGTGTGTGTGTGTGTGTGTGTGTGTGTGTGTGGGGGGGGGTTGCCAGATTATTGTTAGCTTTAAAAAAATCTTAGTGTCCCTGCTGACAGACTTTTCATCTCAATGCCAGTATTTCCTGAACATGGGATTCACTTTTAGTTGATTTTCTTTTGCTACTATCTCAATACCGTAGGCTGGCATATACAAGAAAGAAGTTTATTTTTGGCTTAGAACTCTGTCTTAGGTAAGGGGCA